AGGAAAATTTTTAAAGAATGTAACATCATTAGAATTACAGGTAAGACAAGGGGAAACCCAAAGTACAGACAAGAACACAGAAAAAACTTTAAGAGCGTACAGATGTCATGACATTTATTAAAAGGCATGCTACAATGCTATACTTGTTAGGAAAAGAGATTAGAGATATCAAGTAATAGTTGTCAAACATACAAACTGAACGAGAATGGAATAAACTGTAGTGTACAGAAGCTTGAATTAACCATGCACGACGCATTTAGAAAATATGTTTTTTTTAATATTTTATCTTCTCTTTGCATTTATAACATAGTTCACGTCAACAATAACAGAATCCTTTTTTTTTTCCCCAAAGCCACAAACTGTTACAAATGAAGCTGGTACTGCTGCTTATCAAAATATACAAGATAATCGATGTTTTATATAAAACCACTTTATATGTTAACTTGTTCCCCAAACCCCTCCCTTTTTTTCTTTTTTTTCTTTTTTTTCTTTTTTGGCCTGGTTAAAAAAAAACATGTTGTTACAAATATTTACAGCATCTTCTTCTGTTAGATGAACATTCTTAGAAACTGAAAAAGGGAATCTTATGAACAGACCACGCAAAACACGAGACAATGTCATAGGCTCCTAGCTGTGCTATTTTTTTTTTTTTCCTTAAGTACAGTACTGAAAATGCCCATCAAACCCTTGTCATCCTAACCCACTCTGTTCACATTTAAACTCCCCTTTTCTCTCAGTCATATCAAGTAGTCTATTCACCAACAGGAAATAGGAAGTGAAGGCCGCTCTGCGCTGGGTCTGCTTACTAGAAAGGAGTTACAACCAGAAGTCAGTCTTTGGTCAGAGCAATGAGGTGACATTTCGATGCAAAACTTTGCTTGGTCAGTGATCTTCACAATTAGTACTTTCTGGATGTGGGATGAATTTTTTTAAATACCCGGGTAACAATGGGAAGGGGGGGGGGGGAGAAAGGCCAGAGTCTGACATCAAAAATAGCTATTTAAATATTTGTTATTACAGCTACTCTATAGATTCAAAAACTGAAAAGAACACAAGAACAAAAATCTGTTTACAGTGCTGAACGAGCTTGCCGTAAGCAGCTTTCAATGGTGACTTAGTATCATCACCAAGGTCACTGGGCCAGACAAACATCCCTGTTCTCTGGAACACCTGCCTCAGGGGACAGAAACGAAGATGGCTGCCACAAAGATCTAGAGTGAGCAGTTCTGTTCTTGAACCGGCACAAGGCTATATAATAAATACTATGCAACAAAGGCAAACGTGTAACTGAGGCTTCATTCACACAGTTACAATTCTTCGCTTGTATGACTAGCCTGTGGGATAACATTCTCTTAAAACTCTATAGTACATACTTCCTGAAAGCCAGAATACTGATACTACCTCAGTCTTGAATAGGAAGAAAAGGTCAATTAAGACTACTGAAGAAGGCACATAAACTTTGGTCCCGTTTAGTTTTTTTCTCCCTCTACAAAACCCCTAAAACTAATATTTTAGTAATTTTCTATTTTTTTTTTAAACAACTCACAACTAACTGTTAGAATTTGCTCTGAAAAAAGACTGCAAATAGATAACAACACAGCTCTCTTAAAAGACGGCTGAGTTATATTGTCTTAAAAGGAAAAGTTTCGTGTGATCTAAACTGTATTTCTTTGAGGACAATAGAATATTTTAAGTCTGGCAGTATTCTTGTTAACAACAGATTAAGACAAAGGAAAGGCTAAGAAAAATGCTTTTACGCATAGTCATGCTGTCTTTTTGGTTTTAAAAATAGCAGTACACATTAAGCTTTCTAAGAGAAAGGCTAATACCATGTTTCCCCAAAAATAAGATATCCTCCGAAAATAAGACCTAGCGCGTGGAAAGATAAGACATCCCCTGAAAATAAGACCTAGCATAACTTTGGGAGAAAAAATTAATATAAGACACTGTCTTATTTTCGGGGAAACAGGGTAGTTTGGCAAACTTCAGGTTTTTTAAGTGACTCATTGGGGGAAGAGGGGCACATACCTTTGAGCTTGTTATTTTTTGCCCAAAAATATTTAGTGGGAACAGAAGAGAAATTACACGATAATTTACTCAATGTATATATAAACTTCCCTGCCTAAGGACACGGAAGCTTTGAAACGTTTACATGAAATTGAACAGAGACATTCAGAACCAACTGAGGCAGAACCTACATTACTATTGTAGGTGGAGCCAAAGAAGGCATTGCCCTGCTCCCATAAGGAATTAGGCAAGCAGAAAGAATTTGTCTCTAAAAATGGTGATATCTGCATCTTTTGGCCAAAAATATCAGAAATATTATTACTACAAATAAAAGATGACAATATTCAGTCTTAAAGGATTATGGCATTCTATAGGAGCTATTGGGTAAAAAGCTGATATTCTTAATTGGAAAGTTATCAATTAAGTTACTGGGTCAATTTTTCTATTTGTATTTCACACAAAACACATCTTTCTGCTTGCAACTTACTTAACTCTCAAAGAAAAAACTTTTTGGCATTAAACTGCTACTGTTAAACATGTACTGCTATTTTTTTTTTAAAGTCCTGAATATATGTATTTTGTGTAAAAGTAAAGATGCTCCCAAAAGTGATAAGACATACTCCTTAAAATAAAGTAAATAAGCTTAAAAATAGAATGTCAGCAGAACAGCAAAAACATGACTTAGAAGATATCTTATAAATGCATGCCAAAATAAAAATACAAAGATCTAATTTTCCCACTACCTTGATATTTTAAAATCTTTTTACATAAACTATGCCAACACAAACACTGTAGACTTCTAGAAGTCAAACAGCAAATAGCCCAGTATGGATAACATCTCTGTGCTACAGCTAACTTTAGACACAAATTGATGGTTTCAAACACACTACTTTAAATAAGAATATCTCACTTTTCCAAATCTTAATTTGATTTTCTTTGTCAATAAATTAAAAGGTATCTAATGTGTATATGTATGTACAATATCAGAAGAGTGTATGTGTGTGTGTATGTATATATGTATATACACACACATACACACTTATCTATACACACCCATACACAAATCCCTGAAAAGGATTCAAACGTTCTCTCAGATTTAAAGGCCATGCTCTATTTCAAAATTACATTCAACACCCTTATGATCTCCCTTCTGCTACACTTTTGCTATACTTACACGCTGAATATTATGAGAATCATGACTTCAAACTACACAGAAATTCTTAACTCAAAGCAAATGAAAGAATCAGATTTAACATGTCACTGAAAACTTTAATAGTGCCTGTATGGAGGGAAAAAGGAAGTAAATTTTGGGAGATGTCGCAAATACATTTTTTCCCTTACCCTTTGCTCAGTGTTTAGCTAAAAATCTATCTCATAAGTGAAAAATATAAAACATCTGATAAGTGATTATATCTCTCAGCCAATGATAAATTGATGCACCCAAAAGGTCTCAATTTAGTGTACCCTTTCCAATCCCATCTACCTTCTGTTGCTCAGTGTTGAGTGAATTCTGCTTTTTAACAACCTGTAATATTTCCTGTGTCTGCAATTTTTTGTAAAATTTCTTTTGTAGAACCTTTCCTGTGTTCAAATAAATGGCTGGAATATAGCAAAGAGATTGAGATAGTCCTCTTACAGGTGAGATGAGCCACTCTGAGAATCTGAGAAATGTAAAAGTGGTGGACAAAAATGTCCCTCTTGACAAATCCTGCTTTTAAAAAATCTGATCAAGCATTGAAAGAGTAATAAACAAAAGTTTCTCATTAAAAAGAAACAATTTACATTATACAATCACTGAAGCCACATTAAAATGCACTCTTACATTCAACCAAAAAAGGGAATGGAACTGAGAATGAGAAGGAACCTACTCCGCCATACTCCACACATGTGGGCACTCAGTAATAAAGCTACATTAACAAAGAAAAGCAAGTTCTGCTTAAGTACTGAGAGAAATCAAGTAATCCTGAGACAAAAATCTGATGAATGATAAACATTTGACAAGATCTAGAAACTGAGATTGCATTTCATATTATAGCTACAAATCAGTATGCTGTAACGGCAATGACTGCTATTGGTCACAATGTGAAGAGGCCTACAGGTGTACACTGAATTACTGTCCAAACCATTTACCCTTCCCCACTCCATCTCTGCACCAAAGCACCATAAATTTGGATAAAAATGATTACTTATTGAAAATCACTTAAAATAGCAATGAAAAAAAAAACCTTTAGAATCCTTACCAAAATATGAAAAGAAAAGGCAAACACTCACCAAGCCCACAATATAGCTTTCAAGATACTTAGATAAAACTCTAACCTATTGTATCATAAGCACATAATAAGGCACATAATTAGAAATTAAGTAAATACACAGTAATTCTGAATAAGTATTACAGATTATAGTGGTACAAAAAACCCTTGAGATTAATTTTTTTCTAAAAGAAGACCTTACCAAAAATAACTTTTAAAAATCTGTCAAACCATATGATAGACCTGAATATTTTCCTTAAGACTGTAAACTTTTTCTGAAAACAATTATAAAAAAGTAGTAGAATTTTTTTTTAGTTTTCTAAGATCATATTATATTACTCAGCAAATGTATCATTTTGAAATTTAAAACATGATTTTTCCTAAGAAAATTACTGATTATTCTGACACTTTAATTGATCCTGGTTGGATTCCACTTAATTTTCTTGGGACAGTTGAGATGCTTCATTTCTCCAAATACTCTTAAAAAATTAAAGATATGCAATATTCATAGGAGTGTCTTACCAGTGGGGGGGCGGGGGAAAGGGGGAACTGAGAGAAAACCATAAAGTTTATAAATCTGTTTACAACACAAACCAATTTGTTTATGTATAACCATCAATATATGCCAAATAATTGATGTAATTTATACATGAACAAATTCTGAATCATCAAGTTAAAAACTTGGTTGTAAGAAATTGAAATTACTTATATCAAGTAATTTTAAAAGTTGTCACATTTAATTTTTTAAAGTACAAAGGAGTTTAGAAATGTATAAGGCTGATCTGGTCCCAAACTAAAAGAGTCTGTCCTTTTGAAATCCAATTTAATATGGGGATTTAAATTACTGGAAAAAAAATTTTTTTTCCTGAAGATTATTTTTAAAGGAACTATGATATAAAGGAAAAACACCCCTTTGATCACAGATTGGTAGGGGGAAAAACATTCCTTAATTTTTTGAATATACTTAAACAGCAAACTCAGAAAAAAACTCATTTTTGTAAAAGAGGCAGAATTGGTCTTGAGTTGCTTCAGTCTATGTCTGAACATTTTACTGCTATAATGGTCCAGTCTTAGAAGAAAAATTCACAGAAAATCAGATTGTAGATTTTGAGAAGGAAACTCTGAGGTGGTGATTCTCTCCAAGGTCATGGTTATGAAGCTCAATGAGGGCCTGGATGGCTTCTTCCACAGATCCCAACTGAATAAGGGCCATTTTGCGATCTTTCCTAAAAATGGGATAAGAAATATAAAAAGGGGATAGAATTAACTTTGTCTCTAAACTTTCTCTCCAACCCTAGAAGACTTCTTGAAATGACCCTAACATTTGCATACCATATTCAAAACAAGGTTAACGTGTTTCTTAAAAGCAAGGACTTACTGAAAGAATTTAAAAGCCTTCACTGAACATCCAGCTTCTGTGAAAAGGTTCTTCAGATCATCCATTGTAACGGAAGGTCTGTGAAAACATCAGAGTCCATCAAATATCTTAGCGCCCTAATTCTCAAAGGAAGCAAAGATTAACTTGCAATCGTTAAATCTCCAGTGTAGCTCACATTTCAGAGACTAAAGCCATGCAATGAAAACATGAGTTGGAACTGCCCTGAAGATGTTCGAGGTTGACACATACCACATATATATCCTTAAACAACAGAATTTTGCCTCAAATCTTTTGCAAATAATGTGGACAGGTACATAAGACCAAGAAAAATCTTATCTATACAGGGGCAGGCAAAAGTAGGTTTACAGTTGTGGATGGTGGTCAGTGAACCGCCACACGTTCAAAACGGAATCCATCCTTGCGTCTAGAGATGCTTATGGCGTACAAAGGACTAGAAAGTTTATTCTTGTTTTATTACTTATTAACTATTGTATTACAACTATAAACCTACTTTTGCCCACCTCTGTATGTATTCTTTCAAAGGAATTAGTACTCATACAACAGACTTCAGTAATTAACTCTGGTACTTCCAAAGCTAGTTCTGACTTATCAACTGTAGTCCAGAGTTCTGCATTTTATTTTTTTTAAATTCACACCCAAGGACATGCGTGGGGGCGAGGGGGGGGGGTGAGAGAGGAGAGAAGGGGCAGGTGAGAGAGAGATGGGTTGCCAAATGGGGACCAAACTTGCACCCCAGAGGTGCCCTGCCTAGAAATCGAACTGGCAACCTTTCAGTGCCCCAGACAACACTCGCAGCTGGCCAGCATTCTCCATATTAAACTGCTTTCAGGGTGATTATAAATATGTGTAATTGCCAGGCTCTTGGGTGGCCCTCAATTACTCTCATTTCTTAGAATTCACACCCTCAAATATACCCTTGCTACACTGAGTAGGGATGCCCTCCGTAACCTTTAAAGGTACTGTAGAAATGACACATGTAACTGCAGTGCCCACCACACCTTCTATTTAATCATTAGCTTTGGAGGAACCAGCTGCTATTTCATGAGGACACTAAAGCAGCCACATGGAGAGACCCTGGTGACAAGCAACTGAGGATCTCCTGTCAATAACTAGGCACATGAATGAGCCGCTTTGGAAGCCGGTCCTCCAGCCCCAGTTACATCTTCAGATGCAACCTTATGATAGACTCTCAGCCAAAACCATCCAGGTAAGCAATGTCTGGATTCTTGACTCGCAGCTACGGTATGAGATAATGAACGCTTATTATTGTGTTCCGTTTTGGGGTGATCCTTCTGAAGCAGATGACCAATACAGCGAGTGGCCTATCGCTCCAGAGTCAGCGGACTAAAAGCAGACTCACTTCACAACTGCCAGCAAGGCTGGGGTGGCAGAGAAATCACTGGCTCTGCAGGGAGACAGTCTGTCTTCACATTCTACTTCTTATTCACTTGGTATGTCTCTTGAAGTAAGTTACTTAACCCGAGCCTCTCAGGTTCATTGATAAAATGAAACTCATGACCTCATTTCAAAGGTTATCTATGGATAAATTGAGAGGCAAAAAGTAGAATACAGTAGGTCCCCCCTTACTCACAGTTTCACTTTCTACAGTTTCAGCTACCAGCAGTTTAAAAAATTAAATGGAAAATTCCAGAAATAAACAATTCCTAAGTTTTAAATTGGATGCCATTCTGAGTGGTGTGATGAAATCTGCCATCCTGCTCTACTGTGCCTAAGAAATGAATCATTGATCAGCTGCTTCTTGTACGCTGCCCGCACTGGCTACCGCGCCCACAACCTGGGCATGTGCCCTTGACTGGAATCCAACCTGGGACCCTGCAGTCCCCAGGCTGATGTCCTATCTACTGAGCTAAACCAGCTAAGGGCTAATTTCAGAGTTTTTACCTCTCCTAAAATATACTGTTTATAATAATTATTATATTAATTATTAACCAGCAGTAGGATAATAACTAATTAGGTACATACGGGATGTTGGAGAGATGCAGCGTGGCTGACGGTGGAAAAATATTCTGGAAGTTTTTAGAGCCAGGCTTTTTAAAGCGATGCAAAGGACTATTACTAAAATCCTTAGTCAGACCTTGGTCTTCTTGTCCCTCTCGAGGAAGCTGAACTGACTGATGTTTGGACAGTGTAGCACGGAGCACTTTTCCATAAAGTCTCTGACCGTTCAGATGGTTCATTGCTGGTGCACAGGAAGAAAATAAGGAAAGTTTGGGTATTAAGATAGAGCCTCTATAAAATTTGTCTCAATTATCATAAAATCTTTTTATTTAGTTATTTAAAATTTTTAATTATATTGTCAGTTTGTGGGTTAGAATGGTTTTAAATTTTAAAACTCTTTCGTATAGAAATGTATTAGATGATTTATTTTACAATAACAAAAGAAAAACAGTCAAACAAAAAACAATTATCTTCTTAGGAAATTCCAGAGTGCCTGGAACATAACAAGTGTTCAGGAAATGGTTATTGAATAAGTTAGTTTAATCTCAAGCAAAGTATTTTTTACAAAAGTTCCGAGTGGTAACATTTTGTATAGCCACTATAACAATGAACAGAGAGGCCACAGGATGACACTGTCATGTGCCATCATTAAGATGTTTGCCCAAACTTTTATGCCAAGCAACAGTTCTAGAAAACTTAATTAGGAACAAAAGCAAATAAATAAGCAAATATCATAAAATTAAACAAAGCAAGTGATGTTTAATAGATTAAACTTAGAGAAAAGCCCTAGAATCAAAGTTCTAAATAGCAATAAGTAGAAAACAAACTTTGAAGAGTAATAAATATTTTTAATTTTTATAAAATATAAGCAAGTCCAAATAATGAAGCTAGTACCACAAAGAGGTATTTTTTGGTAAAGTATATTCCAATTAGCTATAAGTTTGCTCATTTTGTAGGAAAATACACATAAAAAGGGGAAGGTCATCACTGTTATAACTATTAATCATCAGTACCTAGCTGAGCTTGATTTGCATCTGCCATCTGAACCAAAGCATTTTCTTTCTTATTAAACATAATCTTCACTCGATGTACATCACCATAGACTCCTAATTAGAAAAAGAAAACAAAACAATTTTTAATGTCTGTGTTGTATTTATTAATACATTTAAAGAAGATTTCTTTTCCCATATTATACAGGATGAGGCAAAAGTAAGTTCAGTTTTGAGTACATGAAACACAGTTTATTCTTATATTATGATTAATTATTATATTATTTTTCATATGAACAACTATAAACCTACTTTTGCCCATCCCTGTATATATTCTCTGAGGTATTCCATATACCTGCTCCCAAATTTGTATCCCTTCTATGTTTCAGATCTCCCCTTTCCTCTTCCTACTTCATTGTTCACAAACTCGGTTCGTAGTTATTATCATCATCCGAATACTTGCTCTAGTCAGACACTTGGGATTCAATTTTTTTACTTCCTTTTCTTAATTTTTTTTTTTTTTATAAAAATATTTTTAATGATTTCAGAGAGGAAAGGAGAGGGAGAGAGATAGAAACATCAATGTTGAGAGAGAATCATTGATCAGCTGCCTCTTGCATGCCCTACATTAGGGATCAAGCCCACAACCCTGACCTGTGCCCTGACCGGGAATTAAACCGGGGTCTCCTGGTTTATAGGTTGATGCTCAACCACTGACCCATGCCGGCCAGGCCTTTCCTTAGATTCTTATATCCAATCCACCTTCAGCACTGATTGATTTTATGGCCTAAATATCTCTCACATTTGCCTACTTCCTCCCATCCTCATTACCATCCAAGCTATATCATCACAACAGCCTCCTAATTGATCTTTCACATCCCAGTTTTCTACACTGTGTTCCCCATAGTGGGTCCTACATCCCAAAGGACAGGCAAAATGACTCATTAGGGAGTGGGAGGAAAGTAATTAAACTTTTTTAAACACTGGTTTGTTAAAACACCAATGTGAAACACGACATTTTACAAATTTTTAGCATATATATATATAAAATTACAGGCAGAAATTTCTATAACAAGGGCATTCTCTCCTTTTTGTCGTTCTGCATATTAAAATACACTGCAGTTTATGTGCTAATAGGTATCACCAATGTTACAAAAATAAGACTCTTAGGTAGTTGCATCATTACCATACTTTGTAATGTAATGAAAATTTTCAAGGCACACAAAGGAGTGCTGATTATCTTGTGGGCAAGCACCTAAGAGCAACTGAACTTAGCAATGAATGGTACTTTTAAAGTTTAAAACAAAAAGACAAGTATTCTAAATTTTCTGTTCTTTTCAAAAATGACAAGTGGCTGAAATAGGTATTATTATTTTTTTTTAAACAAACCCCCACACACAATTTGTTCTTCAAGCTGAGAGTGTTATTTATTTATTTTTTTTTATGAGAAATTAACTACTTTTAGAAACAAATGTGTTTGGACAAAGAGATATAAAAATTTACCAATAATACATGATTTCATTACTGAAAACTAACAGAAATGTGTCATCAATAAAAACTTTGATTGTAAATGAGCATGGACGATCTCGGCTTTGATGATAATGCTGCACAGTTCCGTATTGTTGTGTGCCTACAAACGACACTTCAAAAACACAGTTTCAAACACCTGTCATCCACTCAAAAAATTTAAAACCATTTTTTATCGTATTAAAAATTCTTCTAAATGAAGTGAGTTTTAACTCCTTTTGTTAAAAATATTCTCATGCAATAGTTTCAAGGTCAACTAATTTAACAAGAGGAAAAATTTAATTTTTCAAAGTACAACAAAAAATAGTGAATTAAACTGAAAAAAATTAGTATCGTAATTAGGTGTAGCAACAATGAGACACTTCCATTTATACTGCATATATTTATGAGGTTTCTTTTTCAGTTTGATAACCATTAAGATCAAGTACTAAAATAAAGTGAATTTAGAATACTGACCTTAGGATACTGAATGAAAAATATTTCTGACAACAATGAAGCATATTCTATCACACTAGAGGCCTGGTGCATGAAATCTGTGCAGGGGAGAGGGGCGTCCCTCAGTCCAGCCTGCACCCTCTCCAATATGGGACCCCTCGAGGGATGGCTGACTGCCCGTTAAGGCCCGATCCAGAAGCACTTCCCGGCTCCAGAAGCTCTCTCACTGCTAATGCCTGTGAAAGGTATTTGCCTTCCTTTTCCTGCCTGGTTAATGCTTACTGATTTTTCACAAGTTAGTTTTAACTATAATTTCTCTTGGCATACCATCTCTGATTCCCTCAGCTAGGTTAGGACTCCCAGCTATACATTCCCTTTTTAAATAAAATTTTATTGTAATTACTTACTAATACTCTATCCTCAGTGTCAAACTTGGCAAATAAGAGACAGTCGATAAATATTACTGAATGATGAAATGTATTCAATTCTTATCATAGATAATATTAAAAATACCAAAAAAAAAAAAAAAAAAAGAAAAGAAACTTACCAAATAGGATAAACAGCCCATGTGGTGTGATAAGCTGAAAAAGGATAATACAAAATATAGATGTCTGACTAATATAAGTAAAAATTTAAAATAAGTTTATTTGTAGTAATAACAGTTGACTTTGTTTAAAGCATTTATTTTATATATTTCCTCTATATATACTAGTGATGAACTTTAATAAAAATTCTTAAAATAAACTTAAATTTTTTATTTGAATACAACTCTTGATCAGAAGCTACTGTAGACCTCCTTCTGAAAGACTATGTTACAATGCTTTCCGACTCACATCAGGATTGAGATTGGTGACAAGCAGAACAGAATTTCCTGGCATACCACCAGCCCCAGGAATGGCCATTCTTCCAGTGACAGCAGAGGAGGTGAGTGCGAGAGGACCAAGAGCACCAGGAATACCTGGGACTGACAGACCTTTTGAAAAACATCAAGAGCATTTCGTATTTTAGTTATCTGAAGATTACAACAGTTGATAAATAAATTAAGACAAAAAGAAAAAAGAAAAAAATGTGTCAGGGCATATTCAGAAGGCAATCTATCAATGTTTCTTTCCCTCTCCCTCCCATTTGACACCCTTCTCCCCCCTGTTCCCTTCCACTCTATAAAAAATATAGAACATCAGAAAAAATCATTTCAAAGTGAACTTTGAAAAAAATCACCTGTAGCTTGAGGAAATCCAATGGCCGGACCAAATCCAGCAGCCCCTGCATATGGTGAGGAAATTATACCTGGTGCACCTAATGGAAAAGAGAAGCTAAAATAAATATATCGCCTTCTATAAGTATGGTTATCAAAGCAATATAAAATGGCTGAAAGGGCATATTACTGATAAAGAATTCTACTGTGAAGTAAAAATTTATTCAATAGGTGATCGCTATTGTAGAGTCTCTGCCACTTCCAGAAGCTAACCTTTTCCAACTGAGCTCACGGTGTAGAGTACAGCTTAGCTGTTATTTAGTTTTGAGTTATTAGTTTGTTATTTAGGTTGAAATTCTTGCCCTTATTTAAAGGATTGTTTCTATGTAAAAGTCATTAAATACTTATTAGGTTGAATACCTGTGGGGCACTGCATTGATAAAAAGGAGATATGAAATAAAAATCCTTGCCTCTGAGAGGTTTACAAACAAATTAAACATATAATTAGAGGAGATTCATATGCTGAGGTTTAAGTACATACGCACTACAAGTGGTCTAAGAAGGGACCACAGAGGACTCACTGTGATTTTTTGGAGTAGGTTTCTCAGGGGGTAAAACTTGAGCAGCTAGGCATTATGCATTGAAAAGCACAGTGGCTAGTGTGCACTAGATGCTAAGCTAATGCTGGTACTCTTCCTTTCCTTTCAGAAACCTGGTGACTATACATCATCAACAAAAAACAGGACTTAGTTCCAATGGAGGAGTCAGTATTAATAGGAAAACAATTTGGTTTTGGACATGTGAAGGTGGAGGTAAAGACCTTCAAATGGAAATGCCCAAGAGTGGAAATGAGGGGGCCAACTCAGAATAACAATAAGACAGAGATTTATAAATCATCTATGTAGAAATAAATGAAGCTGAATGAATGAGAGTGCTACTGGGAAGGGTACGCGACAAGAAACTTAAAGAGCTAAAAACAAAACCTGGGAATATCAATTGGTATACTTAAATAGTAGAGGAAAGAAGAGGAACATTCTAAAAGAGAAAGAAAAAGTCTTAGAAATAGGAAGAAAAAAAAAAAAGTGAATTCTAGTTCTTCAGGACCTAGAGAATCAAAGTTATTTTGGAGAAGAAGTTCAATAGAAATTAAAAAGAATGAGAAATGTGAAAGATAAAAAATAGTTTTAGAGCAGCAGAGAAAAGTTAGGTTGTAAGAGTCAAAGGGAGGATTTTGTTTTTTAATAATAGGGTGATGAATATATTTATAGAAGAAGAATATAGGCTGCATTTTCCAGAGGAGTTAAAAGCTTATGTAAGTTTATTCTCTTCATGAAAGACATTTAACAGAATTAGTTGAATATATAGCTGTGATTTATTAAAATAATTCAAGAAAATATATAGTCATTGAGACTTCAGAGGTAGAGCTAGCAGAGAGAACTAGAAACACAAAATAAATGACAGAATAACTGATGTAATTAGAAGGGAGGCATATTTACTGTAAGCAAATTTTGAGCCAAGCCTATCTAGCGCTAAACAAAGCAGACAAGAATCTCTGTCCTTGTTAAACTTACATTCCAGTCAACCGAAGATCATAGTTAAATGACTCATTTTTACAAAGAATAACTATAGTCAAGGCATAAAGAAAGACAACAAAGGGACTTCAATATGGATCTGAGTAATTATAAAAATGTACAATACGAAGTTAATCATAAGAAGAAGTATGGTCCATTTTATTACTGTTGCCAAATATTCACTTGCCCTTTCATGTGACTTGCAGTGACTCCTGTGGGAGGAGCGTGCATTTCTATGCAATTCCCACTGCATATGATCATGTCATAGGAACACATAGACAGACGTGCTGCCTCTGTACAGAAGTTTTAAGAGGCATGAGAGTGTAAATCAGCTCTCTTATTTTTACTTTCTGCCATAAGAATGCATGTCTCCAATGGAGTAAGTGACATCTTCAGCCTAAGCCCTGGATCACAAAGGTGTATGAATGAAGGTTGCAAAAGCAGATTCACAGCTGCCTAAGTGTTGATGCCATGAAATAAATAAATGTTAACTGCTGTAAACCCAGAGATTTGGGGGGACAAGAGAGATTCTCTTTAAGCACAACCAAGTGACCAACCAGTATAGATGTCTACTGAGAGAGGTATGAGTCAGATCAGCAGGTTTTAGAAAAATGAGGAAAATTTTGAGATAACTATCACAGAACATAAAATTGTGATAAATACAAGAACTGGCAACCAATCATCACGGTCAAATTTTTAATAATTGTTTCCCAGTAGGATATAATGATTAATAGGATATCTGTTAAAATTTGAAAAAAGAATTATTTACTAAGTTTCCATAAATCTTTGCTCCTCAAATAAGCAGAAACAAAAAAACATTTTAGCAAAGTAACCTGTTAAGCAATAGGTTAGTATCTTTATGAAAAGATTATACAAACCTTTAAGGAAAAGGTCTAAGATTTGAATGATTAAGAATAGATATTTTGCATTTGGAAAATGCAGAACCAAAATAGCAATTAAGGCCAGATAAATTAATAGACAGCATTGAAACCAGTTTGTCATTGTTATTTATAATAACAAAAACCAAAAGAAACCTGTCAGAAACCACTTTAATAAGTGCTTGTAGGGATTCAGAATGAGTCACCTCAAGACATGCCTCTATGGTATGCAGATTATTTTGAGATCAAGGCAACAGAGACCCTGACGACTCAAGAGAAACTTCTGCCACCATTAAACTCCCTAGAAAAATTTAAATTAGAGGCCTTGCATATAATAAGAATTATCATCAGAAATAACATTTTATGATCTATATGGCAGGGCAAACTACTAGTTATTGAATCCATATCTGCTCTTATCCCCCCGTGATGACCTTCCTCCCTTCTGAAGCCCCAATGCAGAATGCCATATTGCCTCATTTGTTAATATGTACCTCATTTTCTCTTTCTGTCTTTGAACCTCTCATGTATGTGGGGTCTCTCTCTCTCACAAATGTGGGGCTCCCCTGTGTACGTATGCACTTTCAGCTGGCTACTTTTTTCTTGCTAATTTGCCTTATGTAGATTTGATTATTAGACCAGCTGAAAGGACCTTGAGAGAAAAGGAAAGTTTCTTCCTCCCTCGTATGATCAAAGTTACTATCACCAAGAATAAAAAAAACTGGCATCGTGTGTCTCTTGACATCATAAATTGAGAAAGACATATTATTTCAGCAAAAAAACCCACAAACTCATATTGAGAGACATTCTACACAATACCTGACTTGAACTCTTAAAAAAAATGAAAAGGTCATGCAAGACAAAGAATAAAGACAAATAAATTAGGCCTGATACTGGTTTGGATCTTTACCAGAAAAAATTCTCTTATAAAAGAACATTGTTTCACAACTGTCAAAATTTTAAAAGTTTTATGGATTAGATAATAGTAGTGCATGAATGTTAATTTCCTGGTTTTGATAACTGTATTTAGTTAAGAATGACCTTGTTCTTAGAAAATACACAATGAGTATTTAGAAGTAAAGAGGTATTATGCCTGCAACTTACTCTCCAGTGACTCAGGGGGATAATAAACTTACCTACCTACTTACACACACACTCACACACTCAGAGAGATGGTAAAGTACATGTGGCATGATGTTAATAATTGAGGAATCTGGACGAATGATATAAGGCAATTCTTTGCACTATTCTTACAACTTAAATTATTTCAAAACAGTTACTAAAATACTATAAATTTTAGAATATATATATATATATATATATATATATATATATATATATATATAGCTTTACAATGTCAGGGCAACAAAAAGATTTCTTAAACAACACACACAAAAAAAAACACAAACATAAAGAAAACGGCAAATAAATTTGACTACATAAAAGTACTATAAAGCCAAAAATGAAAGAAATGCATATAGCTAACACATATAACAAAAAAAGTGTTTTGAGAGATTAAAAAAAAAAAAAATCCTACAAATAAACAAGAAAAAGCAATAAACCACACACAAAATTAGGCAAAAAAGATAGACAAATTCAGAAGAGAGAATGACCAATAAACAAATAAAAATGTTCAACCTTCTTAATTAGGAGCAGCACTGGTCATAATGGCCTCAAACTAAAATAACCCAAATGTCTATCCACAATAGAATGGATAAACACAACTGTGGTATATTCACATAATGGGAATCTATACACTTGACAGTATTGAGAATGAATAAGCAACAGTCACATACATAAATATGAATGTCTCACAAGTCACACAAAAAAACAAGTAACATAATTCCATTTATGTAAGATTCTAAAGATAGGGAAAAAAATTTTTTTTTAATTAGCACTTAGGGCTGTATAATACACGGTAAAAACAACAACAAAGTAAAAATAAAAAGCTAAAAAGCAAAACAATGATTATCACCAAATTTGAGACTGATTATCTTTTAAGTGTTAGAATTAATTAATGAGAAGGGTACAAAAAGTACTTCTTCGGTATGTATAAATATTTGATTTTTTAACCTAGGTAACAATTACCTAGGTATTAAAATATATTTACATGTTTCATAAGCTTTTCTATTGATATAATACAAGGTGGGGCAAAAGTAGGTTTTCAGTTGTGAGTACACAAAACAGTTTATTCTTTATTACTACTTATTAATTATTCAATTATTTTCCATATGAACAACTGTAAACCCACCTTTGCACCACCCTGTATATATCACTAAAAACTGGGACAAAGTGCTTAAACGTAACCCTAGAAATTTTAAATGTCGACCTTTAAAAAAGAGAAAGAACACACTTAGGTAGGAAAAGGTCAAGAATGTGGTGTTTCAGAAGCTAAGAGAAAAAAGGGAATAGTAAACGTTCACACATACATAAAAAAGCATTGTTCTCTGATGAATCACTTATCTTAGGATGTAGCATCACTTTGCAACAACTACGGATTTATTAACACAATGAAAAAGGATGTTAACATTCTGACACTTTATATTCAGAAACCAAAATTCTTAACTGTATTTTTTGAAATGTCCTCTTTACATGATACAGAACATTAATTACACCGACACTATATATTCAGTTATTGGAGTAAGTGTTGTGCTGCATTTGACAGCCAGTTTTGGCAAACTTGAATGATAGCCTCAATTTCTAACATGTTACTGAAACAGTAATTACAAAGACCTTTGGCTCTGCAGAATCAGACATGTGAGTAAAAGCTGGTAACAAATAAAACACAAAAATTGATCAGACCAAAACAGAATCTTCAACAACTTAAGGAATGCGAACTTAACAGTTCAATAGACTTTTTCAGTTATAAAGAACAAAAAGCTTTGATACTTGAAAAATAAAGTTACAAAGTATTTTCTTGAGAATTTTAGACAATTATTTGGCTAAGGATGTTTTTTTTTTCTTATTGTGAAATGAAGATAGACTCAATATCACTTAAGGTCTCAATAAACAATATTTTATGGTGTCATTTGGGAAAATAATGAATCACAAAGGGTAATACAATTATTACTTTATCTAAATATAAATCACACTTTCAAGAGTTGCAAAACCAAAAAGTACACATTAACCTAGTGATATATCCAACGGGGCCATCTACTGCTTTTTCCTTAACATAAAGTTTTATTTAAAAAGCATGTATAAATGTATTGAGAACTAGTTTTAAATAAAAGAAGGAAGCCCTTCAGAGCAACATTTACAGAGATAATTCAGAAGACTACCTTCATTAATGTAAAAATGCAACTTCCCACAAACTTAAGTTTAAAGATGGAAGTTCTGATGTTTAAAAAACAAAACAAAATAAAATAAGTACTCTTGTTTGAATAAAGGGAAAACATACCACTAATTTAGATCCTTGTTTTAACATATCACTACTTAAAAAAGGATTTCTCTCAGGAGCACTTAAGCCAATATTCTGCTGGTTATAAACCAACATATTTAAATTAATGTTAATATGTAAAAGACTATTAATTTGAAACTATTGTATGGCTGATAAAGAATAAATAATATTAATGTTAGAAAATAAATCTGTAATTCTCAATGTCAGATATTCACTTATCTTGCCAACTAACAGAACCTACAAATATTAAAATTTAATTAATGGACAAATTTTGTTCTATGATCCTTGCTATCCTTTAGAACACCTGAGAGAATATAAGAAGAAAAAGGCTAAGTGACATAACATGGATTAATAAATGAAATGTGTAATTTCAGAAAACTTGCTTTGTGACCCAAAACAGAACTACTCACCAAAAGCAGCAGCCATAGGGGATTCAAGGGATGGATGGCCATCACCAGTAGGCAGATCTAAGCGAGTGAAGTCTCTGCTTTTGTCATTATTATATTTCACATTAAGGCTGGTAAGCTTGGAGAAGTCAATATGCAGAGTGCAGCATGCATTATAGATATTCTGGCCATCCAGTGCCTAAAGCATGTAAGAAAGGGACTGATGTTTTGCAAGACAACAACACTGATAAATCAAGTAGTCTCTACGTTGACACAGAATGGCTATCAGGTATAAAGCAGAGAGCACTGGATTAGAAGCCAAAGACCTTTATTTACTTTTACCTCTGTCACTATGTGCACCTAAGAGAGAAAAAGAAAATGTCTAACTGTAGTTTTTTCATCTGTAAAATAAGGATAATAATCCCTATCTTGTCTCTGGTAAAGATCAAATTAGAGAGGAGAATGTAAAGGCTTGGAAAACTATAATGCATTACTGTACATTATATAAGCTGTTATGATGATTATTTTATCCACAAAAATGTTTACAAATATTTTTACACTTCATTTTAATTCTTTTTAAAGAATGAGTATAGTGCCGAAACTGGTTTGGCTCAGTGGTAGAGCGTCGGTCTGCGGACTGAAAGGTCCCGGGTTCGATTCCGGTCAAGGGCATGTACATTGGTTGCGGGCACATCCCCGGTAGGGGGTGTGCAAGAGGCAGCTGGTCGATGTTTCTCTCTCATCGATGTTTCTAGCTCTCTATCTCTCTCCCTTCCTCTCTGTAAAAAGATCAATAAAATATATTTTTTTAAAAATGAGTATAGTTTAGTTTATACAGGTTAAGATGAAATATACCTTTCTAAATGGTACTTACTAGAAAAGCAATATATGAAATATTATCTACCATTTTTTCTTCTCTTATAAATTTATTTTTTTAGCACTTTGCGTAATAAGCTGAGGGCCCTACACAGTTTGGCTCAGAGGTTAGAGTATACATCCACCCAAGGACTGAAGGGTCTCAGGTTCCATTTCCAGGTTAAGGATATGTACCTCATGCCGAAGCCGGTTTGGCTCAGTGGTAGAGCGTCGGTCTGCGGACTGAAAGGTCCCAGGTTCGATTCTGGTCAAGGGCATGTACATTGGTTGCGGGCACATCCCTGGTAGAGGGTGTGCAAGAGGCAGCTGGTCGATGTTTCTCTCTCATCGACGTTTCTAGCTCTCTATCTCTCTCCTTTCCTCTCTGTAAAAAATCAATAAAATATATATATAAAAAATGGATATGTACTTCAGTTGCAGGCTAGACCCTTGGCCCCAGGCAAGGAGCAAACATGAGGCAACCAATGGGTATGTCTCCCACAGAGATGCTTCTCTCTCTCTGTCTCTCTCCCTCTCTTCCATTCCACTAAAAATCAATGGGAAAAATACAATTATTACTTATTGTAATAATTATACAATTATCCAGCTTTGCACAGTGGATAGAGCGTCCGTCTGCAGACTGAGGAGTCCCAGGTTTGATGCCGGTCAAGGGCACATACCTGGGTTGTGGGCTTGATCCCCAGTGAGAGGTGTGCAGGAGGCAGCCAGTCAATGATTCTCTCTCATTACTGATGTTTCTATCTCTTTCTCCCTCTCCCTTCCTCTCTGAAATCAATAAAAATATATATTAAAAATAAATAAAATAAAAATCAATGGGAAAAAATATCCCTGGGTGAGGATTAACAAAATAAGTAAATAAATAAAAATAAGTAAATAATAAGCTGAGGGAAATTTGAAGTCAGTTCTGGAACAAGCCTATAAATCCGTAATCCCTCCCCCTTCATAATAATAAAAACTTACCAAAGGAATATTTGTAGTCACTTATGACTTCCACAAATGTCCAAATTTACCAAAATAAATATCAGAAACCAAGTCAAAAATATACAAAAAACCCTGACTTGTAATAGTTTATTGATGAGTATGCCACTATAAAGGCACAAAATTATACATATGTGGAGGTAGAGGGAACAAATATAAAGGTTATATTCCTATTCAAGAGGTAGACACTGTGTAGTACACAAAAGTAAAACTAACTTTATCCCTATCTTTGAAATGAATTCGGAAACAATTCAGACACCGATGTAAGATAGAATTCTGGTTACAGATAGGTCTCAATAGGAGATGGGTCAAATATAACCCAACCGTGAAATTTTATATCTTGTCAACAATCAAGCACTTAAAAAAAAAAAAAAAAAAAGACTATAAGTTGACACAGCAAGTTTCCTAAAATTTAATGTATTCATTAATTCAGAGCTCATAAGATTCAACTAGGAGTATGGTTGTAAAAATAGTGAAATTAATCTTTGGAGAATTTGATAGAATAAATGAAGGCACAAGGGCAAAGATAATTTTACTTTATTAGTTAGATTATATCAGGAGCACTGTGCTCAATGCTAGACTTCAAATATGACAAACTGAAATGAGTCCCAGAGGTCTTGAGATATAATAGGTGCTTTAAAACCATTTCATATGAACAAAGTAATTTTTAGCTTGTTATAAAAAAAGAGCATATGAAACAGTATATTTGAAAATGATAATTTTTATATTATGTTTATCTTACTACAATTAAAAAACACATGGTAAGTGGGAACAAGGGAGAAGACATGAAGGCTTCCTTTGGTAACACTGAAGTGACTGATTAACAACTGAAAAATGAAAAAAAGTTAATAATTACCATTTTGGCATACTGTGCATTCATTGGGTCAGCATACTGAAGCAAGGCTTGAAACTGATTATTCTTTGTAAAGGTGATAATTTTCAAGACTGTGCCAAATTTAGAAAATATCTGAAAAAAAGTTCACATTGGGTTAAATCTAAGGAAAAAAATTAAACTAACATATCTTTATAAATACAGCTTGATTCATGAATACCATTTTTAATGAAAATAATTTCCTCTGTTAAAATTGTTGGTACCAAAATAACTTAAATCAAACCTAAGATGTTAAAGTTTCAACACCCATGCATGGCTTATAACAGTGCCTAACCCAAAAGGCACTCAAATATTTAATCTACTTTATAGTGCATCATAAGTGACACAATACTAAAACAGGAGTCTACAATAGAAATTAATTAATATTATAAGATAATGGGGTGAAAAGTATATGAATGGAAGTGAAAGAGTCACATTGATCAACTATTTCACTCTGAGAATTAGCCTCTAACTTTTTTGAGATTTTAGAGACAAACTACAAGATGTTCAATAGAGTCTGCTCTATTAATTCAAAGACTCACAGAGTCCTGTTCTAAGCACTGGAAAGTCAGCAGTGAACAAAACAGATACAAGAGTCTCTGACCTTGTGAGAAAAGACATGATAACTAAGCAAATAAATAACAATGTCCAGTTGTAAAAAAGGTTATGAATTAAAAAAAAAAAAAGGGGGGGGGATGAGAGAAAATGAGAATTAATGTTGGAGACGTCCAAGAGTGGTCAAGGAAAGCCCCTCTTAAGTGGTATCAGAGAAGAGGAATAAACAAGAGGGCGGGGAAGGTTTCCTGACAGATCTCTGGTTATCAATGCTCTTACAATACTGTTCTATTGCACCAAAACAAAGGTTCATGGCCAAGGTCACTACAACGCATTTTGTTTTCCTCTGACGTCCCATTTTAAAATGTGGATCTTAATGACCCAGAAACTTGTCATTATAAGAATAAAAAGGTAGTATTCCCTAAGTTGGTAAAAATTTCCCATTATCGAATATTATGTCTTCAGTATTGTTAATAGGGCAAATGACTCTGCTTCCTAATTATCAGAAAGAATATTCTAAAGCAGAGGCAACAAAAGAAAAAATAGAGAAATTCGACTACATCACAATTAAAAACCGTTGATGTCTCTTATACATTGTTTTCTTTTGGACTTTAAAATGAGACTAAAGAAATACTGAAGCTAAAATTCTGGTAAAATTAATCTTCAGGGTGATAGTTATACAGGTAGAACTTGCCAGAAACTAAAAATGTTCACTAGTATTCATATAAAATGTATATTCATCTTAGAACTTTAAAAAATATCAGGCACACTGAACAAAACTTGTTTGTAATCGTTTTTGTAGCTAAGAAAATAGTAAGACTTAAGAATCAGAATTTTATATTACTAGTATTAATTTTTTATTTAATATCTTAATAATTGATTTTGCAAGTTATTTATCTTTATTCTGCAACTTAGAAAGATCAGTCCTTTATTCTAGGCCAGTGGTCTGCAAACTCATTAGTCAACAGAGCCAAATATCAACAGTACAACGAATGAAATTTCTTTTGAGAGCCAAATTTTTTAAACTTAAACTATATAAGTAGGTACATTGTTATTAACTTAATGAGGGTACTCCTAAGCTGGCCTTTGCTAAAAACTCAAGGGGCCAAAGAGCCACTGTCTTAGGTGATGCCAAACAATAGAATGGCCTTAAATGACCACCCATAAGCTGATGATTACCAAATCTTCAGCCCAGAGTTCTTATGCCAATGTAGGTTTATTTGCCAAATGTCTATTCAGTATCTCCTGCTTCAATGTTTAATAGATCTATTAAACTTAACATGTCCAAAAACACACTCTTGATTCCTGCCCTACCTTCCACCCCTGTCCCAAATTTTTATTTACCTCAGTCTTTACTATTTTAATATACGATAGCTCTATTTTACCATTTCACAGATGAAATCTGAAAGACATTCTTGATACTCTTTTTCTCTTCAAAACCTACACCTACTCAACCCATCAGCAAATCCTTCCAAATATATCCATACTCACTACTTCCAGGGCCCACATCCTTATCCCAGTCTCCACCCTCCCTTACATGATTATGACAAGAGCCTTCACTTATGCCTACAGCTTAATCATTTTCTTTTTATCTTTACTGTTGAAAGTATTACATATGTCCCCTTTTTTTTTTCATTGATGCCTTTCACCCAGCTCCCACCCCATCCCCAGGCCTTCACTGTTTTATTGTCTGAAGTCTTATAACAGCAACGAGACTGATTCTGTTAAAACATAAATGTGCCCCCAAATCCTCCAATGGTTTTCCATCTTACTTACATGTAAGATAAAAAAGGTTTTATTTACATAATTTGGCTCCGAACTGCTTCTCTGACCCTCTTAGTTACTACGTTCCTACTTTATTATATTCCACTGACATAGCCTTATTTCTGATATTTGAACACAGTAAGCACACCTTCATGTTCAAGACTTCGCTCTTGCTGCTTTTTCTGATTGGATGATCATTCTACCACATACACACAACTTACACCTTAACATCCTTTAAGCCTCTGCTCAAATGTCATATTGGTAACATCTTTCTTAATGTCCATAATCTGAAATGGCACCATTCCCCTCTCAATCCCTTTGGCATGAGCTAAAGGAACAACCACAAACTTCTACAGATATTAGAGAGCAGTTTAGTTAATGTTTACTCTTCAGCAAAGAATATAAAACAATCCTCTAATTAATTATAACAGGTGCAAGCAACTCCACACTTCCATGTATGATCCCATCTCAATATTTATTGCATTATGCGATTACTTATGAAACTACATCTTACCCACAAGACTATAAAAGCAAGGATCATTCCCTTACAGTGAAATTTACTAACATCTGATAATTACAGATAAAATTTCTTGAGCACTTAATATGTAGCAGGCACTGTTCTAAGTGCTTTAAGTGCATTAACTCATATAAACCTCACAATGAAGGTATGAAAAACCATCTTAATTCATCTCCATTATATACTAGTAAATAAGTAAAAGGCATAGATGAGGTAAGTTACTTGCCCAGAATTACAGAGGTAGTAAGTGGTAGAGCCAGGATTCAAACCAGCTCCAAACCCAGTATCCCTTAATCCTTAGGATACACACTTTGGTTGGTTAATGAGACAGGATACCAGACGGGGAGTGCTTAGTTAATGTAATTAGAGAAAGACTCTCTGAGGAGGTGAAAATCCAATTATGTAAAATCCAGTTCAGTGACTATCTCAGTGAAGAGTATTCCAAGCTTAAATAATAGAAAACAGAAATGGACAGGGATAAGCTGGAGGGGAGGGAAGAAGATCAATGGACCAAAAGTTAGGGTGCTAAATAAGCAGAGAAGTGTTAGAAAAGGGGTTAAAGAGATGGGGAGAGGTCTGCATGTGGGGGCCTAAGGACCTTGGTAAAGAGTTTGTTTTAATTTCAACAACAATGGGAAGGAGCATGAAACAAGGGAGTGCTGTAACTGATGGCTGAGAGTCCGACCCTGAAAGTTACTATTGAGGATTCTCAGTTACTACTCTTCACCGGAAGGACCCCATGATCTTTTGGGAGAGAAACAAGGATTGTACTTGCTGTCATGAAGATGATAAATGGATCGACAGGACCGAACCACATGACCCTGGCTAACCTAACCGTGACAGATGGCTATGTTGAGCCACAGGACCAAGAAAATCCTTTGAAACACAGTGTACATTAGCAGTAGCTACAGGGTTACAATACCAAAAACAAGCACACACTGCTGATGGATCACAGCGTGCTCAGTACCATTTTGTGGGATAAACAGAAGAGAAGAAAATCCACCAGAACAAAAAAAAGCAATCACCTGAGCAATTCCGGAACCCTTTCAGGGAACAAAAGTGGCTATGGGTAGCTCTGTGAAAGCCTGCCCTAGGACATGCTTTACAAATGCGTATTTAAGAAAATGGTCCTCAGAAAACTATCACAGAGATCACAGTGGGCCTAGTAAATTGTACGTTTTGATATTTATATGCATGGCACAGGAACTGCATTAGGAATGTATCCATGCTCTATCACCAGTTAGCACAGTGACTGTGGAAACCTAGCATAACTTCTAAAGGAGGCCTCTGTTTTCTTATTTGTAAAATGTGGGAATAGAATAAGAGCATTTCAATTCGTAAATATACATACACATACATACATCTCTATGACCCTTCACTTTTAGTACAAATACAAAGATCAGAAAAGCAGTTAAATAATCCTGGACTGACCTGGTTCTAGACTGGTAATATATATTGAGATATAAATATGAAAATAAGCAAATAATGTTTTAGTATTTTAATACATGGATTGACAAGTATAATGAAATCAATATGCAGCTAAAAGGGACAAAACTAACTGAAGTTGTTGGACTAGATGCCAAATATTTATGTATACAGATTACCAAATAACTACATGTTAAATTTAATATTGCATGTTAATCCTTAGGCTACACTATACACTACACTTTGGTTGGTTATTAAAAATGTAACAAGCATGCAAAATACTCTGGACTTCACATTAGGAGGCTTGAGTTCTAATTGGCTCTTCAATTACTCTACAATGCGTCAAGTATCTGAGTTTCAGTTTTATTCACTATAAAATTATACAACAAGGTGACCTCCCAATCTTTAAATTCTATATATGCATAGTAGGCCAAAAGATGGTAGAATGACTTTTATCAAGACAGGTTAGGCATATTACTGGGTTGTCAATGAAAGCTACATTGGGCATCAGTCAGCACTAACACGATACTTCCATGTTACATGTAAAAGAGTTGCTGTATACCTTCCTTTCAGAGTTTTTAAAAGAAAAATACTCAAATGTAAAAAGTCAACAGGAATAAGTTAGTTATTTTCTATACCAATCTTACTTTCTCAGGAATAACTACTACCAGTGCTTTTTATAGATTCTATACTTTACTCATTTTCATGCTTAGATATTAAAAAAAAAATGTCTTACACATCTTTTAAAATCAAGTATTTAAGTTAGGAAATAGGGTATCAAAATTATCTCGAATTGATATTCTTGCATGAAACAGGGTAAAGTTTTTTTTAAAATTTAAAGAAATACATCAGACAAAACCAGCAACCCAAAAAACTAACGATATAAAACATCTAAAGTTACAGAGGACACATTTGACTCTGCTTTCTGAAGAAGGTCCTTCCTTACCTGGTGAAGAACTTCCAGGGTCACAGGGTAAAAGAGGTTTTCAATAATTATCCGGAGCACAGGGCTCTGCCCGGGTAGCATTGTGCCTTCACTGCTGGGAGCTCCAGGAAGGGCCAGGCTTCCTGACTGGATAGCACTGACAGCCTGCAGTGCCGCTTGGGCTCGCTATAAAACAATCCAAAATGAGAACTTTAATTACATAGAAGCACACATGAATCCTAAAAAATTAGTTGATGTAAAGTGAATCTGATGATAAAAAAAACTATGACATAGAATGTTCTGCAACACTCTCTCTGGAATGGTTGCACTAACTATAAATAAAGGAAATAGCAGCAGTATGAAACCAACAGATTTTTATTGAGGCATGGGAGAGAAAATGTAGTTCATGTAAAATTTAAACGTGCTTAGATTCTGTGAAGGCATTGTGAAATTGAGATGGAAATGAGTATACATAAAAATGCAGAGATTAAAAAAAAAAAAAAAAGCAGAGGTTTTAAGTGTCCAGTTTGATGAATTTTTAGAGAAAAATCTTCCCATGGCCACCTCTTTGTGGATTTATAAACTTCCACACACAGGGTAAAGAAAAACTGTCTATACAATAATTGACTGCTATTACACAATGATTTTTCAAATGCTGTACCTTTTAAGCTATAATTTTAATTTAAGTCAAGGGACAAAAATACTTGATATTCACCTGACCCTTTGGCAAGTATGTCCATAAACTAGAAAAGAAGTTATGTGCATGTTTTGGAATATCTTGATTCAGAAAACAAAAGAGAATGAAACAGTTAATTTATCAGCTTCCCAGATCTGTCAAAATAAAAGTTATCTAATACATTTTAAATATGCAAACAGGTACCTTGAATTTTGAATTCAGCTTTGGTATAGAACTTTGAATAAAAGAAAAATTATTGTATTTTATGAAACATCAATGCATAAAACTGCACAAAATTAGCAAAATAGAAAGGATATTGGGAAGAAATCAAGGCTATCGAAGAATAAACTAGGTCATTTGGGCTGGCTTTGGTTGCCAAGCAACTGGGATTTCTCACTGTTTCCCTTTATAATAATCCATCTTTAAGAGTCTTAATAAATTGTTTATTTCTTCTTCAAGACATACTAATATATTTAGGAATCACACTAATGAGAAAATTTACATAAAAGAAAATTTAAAAATCTACTCAAAGCCAGTAAACAAAATATAATTTCCTCTTTAAAGGATCAGTGAGCAATAGAAATACATTAATTATCTTTAAATTAATCTATAAAATAAAATTCAATTCCAATTGTGTCTTTGGGGGTATAAGTTACCAAAATAATTCTAATATATTTGGAGAAATAAAATATATTAAGTTAAATAACAAAGGTGAAACTGGTCACTGGGAGTAAAATAAAGATTAAAACCTAACCCTTACTCCACACTCCAAAAGTACTTAATAAAATAAAGATTTATATATCATATTAAAATACAAACAACTAAAATGTAAAAGTAGGAAAAATTTTTAAATTTTGCTTAGCTAGGTCTTTATGAGTATGGTATCAAAATCAGGAACTTTAATACAATCTTAAGAGATAGGACTGTCGTATGAAAATATTTAAAAAACTATATTACCAAAGCAGGCAAAACTTATAAAAGACAGAGAGTAAAACGGCAGTTGCCAGGGTCTGAGGGGAGAAGGAAATGGGAGTTAGCGTTTAATGTGCAGAGTTTCCGTTTGGGAAGAGGAACATCTGGAGATAGATGTTGGTGATAGGTTGCAAGATGTGAATGTACTTAATATCCACTGAACTGCATACTTTAAAATGGTTAAAATGGTGAATTTTACATTATATACATTTTACTGCAATTTTTAAAATGGGGGTTTTGGAAACCCACATTAACAGAAATTGCTATAAATATTTTACTAGTAACCAAACAAGAATCAGTAAACAATAAGGTATAATTTCTCGTCTATCATATTAACAAAGATAAGAAAATTGCTCATACATTATCAGTCACATCCCAAGTGGAGGCATAATCTTTACAGAAAGCAATAATACAAAATATATCAAAATATAAAATAAGCTTATGCTCAGCCCCAGCAATTTCATTGCCAGAAATACAAACTAATATGATAATGTTGCAAGTGTGCTAAGATATATATTGTAAGAATGTTACTATAGTATTATTTGTAAAAGCATAAAATTGGAAACAATCTCAATGTCTGTAATAAAGAAACTGGATAGCCTAGTCAGTGTGGCTCAATGGTAGACCCAGGAAGCAATTCCTGTTCGGGACACTCTCCAGGCTGAGGGCTCGATCCCCAGTAGGGGGCATGCAGAAAGCAGCCGATCAACTGATGTTTTTCTCTCTCCCTTTCCCTTCCCTTCCTCTCTCTGTAAAAATCAATAAAAACATATTTGGGGGGAAAAGAAGAAGCAGGATAAATTATTTGTCCTATGCAGTCATTTAAAAATTATAAAGCAATTCTATAATTGTTCTCATGGAAGAATGTCTGACATATTATAGTAGAAAATATTAGCTTTCAAAACATTATAGAGTCCCATTTTTGTAAAATTACATTCAGAGAGAATAACATACCTGAATAAAGATGGGGCACACGCAAGAATGTTAGAAAAATGCTAGTTATCTCTGAGTAACTAAATTCCAGTAACTAATATTCCAGGCTATTGACTTAATAATATCTATATTTATATATATATAGATTAGTATCTCTTAGAACAAATTAAGGATTGTATATAGGAAATTTCAGTTTTTAATAATGTGGAAAACTATAATTTAAATTCAACAGCTTCAATTATAAATAACTTTCAACACAGAATCAAGAGCTAGAGTTCTTTTTGCCTAGAGCAAAAGCATAAGGGCCAAACATTATGCACTTAACATAATTAAAAAAACAGTGAAATTACTATTTTAATTACTTAAAAATCAACTTGGAGAGACACAAAAGATTCAACATGAACTACAACAAAATAAAAAGTGGAAAATGTTGATATTCTTATTAACATCTTAAATTCAGTTTACATAACATCACAACAGAAACATCACTCAACTTCTCAATGCCTTTGTTATATATGCTGTAAAAGAAAGGATTGACTTCTAAAATTCCATTAGATAGGAGATTTTAAGAGATACATAACAATTTTTTCCTTTTTCTCTCATAAAAACAGTTTCATGAGAAAACTAAATATGTGCCATTTTTAACACTATAACTTTAAACTTCAAACATGGCTTCACTTTTCTTATGTTTAAGCTAAGATGGATTAAAAAGTACATTTTTGTTTTTCCTCTGAAACAGAAAATTAATCTTAAGCTATTATACCATATGTGCTTATAGATATTTTAAAAAATGCCTTTAATACTTACAGCTTGATTAGGTAGATTGTCAGTCTTAAGTTCTCTGTGATTGGAATACTGAATAAAGATAGGCTGACTTCGAAGATGAGGGGTCACAGGAGTGTAATAGTTCACCATGGTAATAGCAGCTTCCTCAGAAGCCATTTCTAAGAAAGCCTGCAATAAACACAAGTAGATAGAGTGAAAGCTCACGGCTTCTGAAAGATAGCTAAGAACTATTTTGTCATTCTAGCTTGCTTTAAATTCATGCATTGTCAACCTAAATAAAATTATATACATAGACAATAATACATCTGAATAAAGAGGGGGCACACACCAAAATGTTTTTAGCAAAATGTTCGTTAGTTATCTCTGGGTAACTAAGTTATTCTACACACAGACTAGGTATCCTGTAGTTACCAATCCATCTCTGCCCCTCACACATACGCAGCCCCACCTTGTATCAATCCAAGCCACTCACCACAAAGCAAGGACCAGGCCAAAAACACAAAAGGAAATAAGTAACATATATATATATATATATATATATTGTATATTTATATATATATATATATATATATATATATATATATATATATATATATTGTATATTTATTCTCATGAAAGAAGGGAACGGAAAGATTTTTTTTTCTTTTGCTTCAATGTGATGAAGAGAATGAAAAGACTTTTGATTCAATGTGTATTGCTGATATTAATTGGGAACATATTTGAAAAGCGAAATTCAGTAAAGGATTTGGAATTGAGAAATTGCCAGTTGATTAGATGATTGATATAGCTTTGTTGTTTTTTCTTATTTTTGTTTCTCCTAAATCTAGAAGTAATTAAAAAGGTAAAAGTAAATGTGTGGACTGGTGAGTGTGGCTCAGTGGTTGAGCACTGGCCTCTGTACCAGGAGGTCTTAGAACATGCCCAGGTTGGCTCATTCGACAGTAGGGGGTATGCAGGAGGCAGGTGATCAATGATTCACTCTCATAGTTGATGTTTCTACCGTTCTCTCCCTTTCTCTTCCTTTCTGAAATTAGACATGGCTATGTTGGCTCTTTTCAAACCATGCAAATTTTGTATTCTCAACAAAGGCAGCTGTGTTAAAATAAAGATCTAAGTATATGTACTATCTTCATTTTTTTTTTTTTTTAATGTGTGCATCACCACTACAAATGGATGCTTTCAGGAGTTGAGATTTAACAGTTCTTTCCTAAAACATTCTCAGAGATGGGGCATGACAATCTATTTTTCTTTACCCTTTTACTAAACAGTTTATGAATACAATTAAATAGAGCATTCAGGTGTATAGGGTCAACTGTTCAAATTCCCATAGTAAGTCAAATAATCCAAGCAAAATTTTTAAAATCTGTAATCATTGTACTAATAAATATTTGCAGAGTAACATAGAATGAATTAAGATGGAAGGCACACCTTGGTATTTATATCTTATTCTATATATTGCTTCTTCTGGCTATAAGGACCCCTGTAACTTGTATGACAAAGCTTAACTTGTATGACAAAGTAAAACCTGCCACCTATCTTAATGGTTCATTAGGTTCATTAGGAAAATAAAATATAGACATATACTAACTACTCTGAACCACGAACATCTTAAACTTAAAATGCATTTTATTTATTTAAAAAATATTTTATTGATTTTTTTACAGAGAGGAAGGGAAAGGTATAGAGAGCTAGAAACATCAATCAGCTGCTTCCTGCACACCCCACATTGGGGATGTGCCTGTAACCAAGGTACATGACCTTGACTGAAATCGAACCTGGGACCCTTCAGTCCGCAGGCTAACGCTCTATCTACTGAGCCAAATCGGTTTCAGCTTAAAATACATTTTAAATCAATGCAAATTTCTAGTTAGACAACTTAATTTTTTACTACAATAAAGCATTTAATTAGCAATTCAAATTATATATAAAACAGTTATAATTTATTTATAAAATACGTATTTAACAACAAAATTTATTGAACACAGGAAATGGCAAGTATCTATAGATTTAACTTTGTTACTTACTTGGCAAGTGTTTCCATTTAGCAAATATTCCAGGCTATTGACTTAATAAATGTTAAATATGATGCTTGACTAAATTAATCAAATGTCACAACTGAATTGATTAAATGAACTAAAAACATTCTATTAAATAGTAATGCTAGTTACACAACAGTGGATCAAATACCATTAATTAACTGTCCACAATAAACAAATAAAATTCCTCCATCTTCAAGAAATAAAATAAACTTTGAGTCATTTATGCCATCTAAAAGGTATAAAAATCCACAATACACTTTAAATCCACTATCCAGTTGTATCAGTAATATACATATTTTTTCTAGTATTTCTAAAAAAAAAAAAAGATAAAATTATCAAGGTAAAAATAGCTATGGCAGTATCTCCTATCTTGTTTGTAATCATCTTTTCCACAAAAAAATTGTACAAACTGCAGTCTTTTCATAATATTCACTATATAAGGAGAAGGTGTTTTCTATCAATTCTTTGCTACATATTAAGAATTAACCCAGTGTTTAACACCAGTCACACAAAGGAAAAACTAAACAATGTATTTGGAATAGTAATGATTATCATAAGAAGTTTTTTCCTGAAAGCATATAAAACCTAAGAATTCACATTTAAAAACATGTTTCCACATGGTTGTCCAGTAAAGGTTTCATTTCTGTTTTTCTAAAGTATCCAGTCCAAAGGATAAATTTTCATAATATGGATGAAAAGAAAATCAAGTTACTACCCACAGAAAGACTGGTGAAAATAATCCCCATTACTCCCTCAACACTCTACTTCCAAGTTCCATGGGAAAGATCACGCGTAACACGCGTAAAAGTACTTCTAGTGACTCACATCTGAATCTCCTGCTAAAGTATACCACCGGCAAGATATTTTTCACACAGTACTTATAAACAGAAGACAAGCGATCAACGTAAGTCAGTTAGCACTACTAACTCCAGAACCAATAGCGACAGAGGAAAGTATGTGTTGCCTGCTGCCTCTCGCAGCCATCTGACATAATACACAGGATACACTACTGAAATATGATAATATACATGATACTTGGGTGTTAGACATCTCACAACCATTAGACATGGCCATGTTGGCTCTTTTCAAACCATGCAAACCTAGTATTCTCAACAAAGGCAACTATGTTAAAATAAAGATCTAAGTACATGTACTACCTCCAAGAGATCTATGTATGTAGACACAACAAGGACTACCACCTTATTTAACTTCTACAGATCTTAATAATCTTATCCGCATTAAAAAGGCATGTTAGTTTATAGCTTACTAAAAGGTATGGGCATAATTCAGACATCATCATCCAGCCTCTAGGAAGTCTACTGCTAATCAAGTTACTTATTTATAAATACATTTAATATGAGCTTCTTAGCCCTAACTGGTTTGGCTCAGTGGATAGAGTGTCGGCTTGCGGACTCAAGGGTCCCAGGTTTGATTTTGGTCAAGGGCATGTACCTTGGTTGCAGGCACATCCCCAGTAGGGGGAGTGCAGGAGGCAGCTGATTGATGTTTCTCTCTCATCGATGTTTCTAGCTCTCTATCCCTCTCCTTTCCTCTTTGTAAAAAAAAAAAAAAAAAAAAAAAAAAAAATCAATAAAATATATTTAAAAATAAATAAAATGTGTTTCAAAAACTTATTCATGAGAATTGTAAGAAACATAGGGACATAGCCCAATGTACTACACAATGTCTAGGGCCTAGCTCAATTTGTTGTCCTCTTCTTTGCAACAATGCTCAATGTAAAAGAGAACTAGGAGATAACTAAAAAATTCATCCCAGTGCCATCTGACATGGAACAAGAAAGCAAGCAATCAATATGACATGTATTATATTTTTTGTCAGGATCACCACAAAAAGCATATTCATCTTAAGAAAAACCTATTAACTTCTGAAATTACCAAAGAAGCTACTTATCAATTCTATAACTAAAATAGTATAAATATTTCTATACAGATTTTGGAAAACTTATATGTCCTGTAATTTGCCAAATGAGGTATAATTTATATCTTCTGTTTTTCTGTTGGGGTCTTTTGGTAATCAGGATATTTTCATAAGCCATTTTTAAACTAAAAATATAATTTTTTTTTTATTAAGAGAAAAAAAGTCAATGGTAACATTTTTGTCTGTTGTTTCTTGTCACATACACACAAAATTATAATTTAAAAACTACTTTTTGGAAATAGGATGAAATTTAGAAAATGCAATTTAGAAAAGTTCAAAAAAATAAACATCATCTTTAACATTAATACCCAGAACTATAACGATGGATCAGTCTTTAAACATTACATACCTGGCTTTTTCCTTTCAACATCAAAAGATTAGTTACTTTGCCAAAGGGTAAACCTAATGATATGACCTCTGCTTCGGTGACATCATTTGGAATTTTGCGAAGATGGAGAACACGGGAAGGCGAACAGGGGGGTCTGTCTCCTTTAAATTTCTTGTTGTCATTCCCATTAGCTAAAAAATAAGATTTAAAAAAAAAAATCACTGAAACTAATTTGGGTTAACAGACTATATTAATCATATGTATTGTGACAATACTGATCCTCCAAGAGTTTCATTTTTTGAAATTTTGGGGGGTAATGGGACAGATGGGTAAAAGGAAAGAAGGGCCGTTAATCTTTTGGTGAAGAGGTTTTTAGGTTATATAAAATCTTTAAAAAGGTAAGCATATTCAACCTCAAGGAAATTACTGGGTAAGTTTAATTACATATTTAGAAGCTCCAAATACCTCTAAATAGTCAACTATTAGTTGTGAATAGAGAACATTTATAATGTCCTTACAGTATTTTAAAATATGTTTTTCTAATTTGTTCTGTTGCTAAATAAGTAAGAATAAATAGCTTTTAGGGAACACTATAACAAACATTTTATATTTATTACACTCTAAGGGGTCTTGTATTTGAGTTGTATGCTTATGAAAATTAAGTCTATTTCTTAGAGGTTATATATATTTTAAAAAGTTATTTTTTTTTAGGCTAAATTGTGGTTTCTGAGGATAATCTTAGTCCTTATTATATAAGGACAGTAGTTCTTAACATAGGCATGATCACCTTGCTAAAAACGCAAATTTTCAGCTCTACTCTAGATCTATACAGGCGGGACCCAGCAACCTGTGCCTTAACAAGTTCTCCAGGTGATTCTGACGCAACCTTAAAGTTTGACAACCACTGCTGTGAAATAAAGAAATTATCCCAGTTCACAGACAAATTTCATTTAAATCCTATTATTTTTAGCATTGATAATAACTAAACTGACAAGTCTGTAACAAATACTCAAATTTATGTATGTAGGATCCAGAAGTGCCCCCCTTCCCCCCAAATACAGCACTGTATAAAACTGAACGCAAATTATCTGAAAGACAAACGTTTCACTACAGTTTTGTGTGTTTTTTTCTTAAATACTAAATACCATACTTAGCGCTATTAGAAAGAAAATATCATCTTTCAAAAGGCCTAAAAGGATCATTTTCCCAAATAATGATGGAACTTTACAATCAGATGTCTGTGCTCCTAAATGAGTATCACATAAAAATTAGGGTGATATTTTATACCCATATTTGTGGCATGGAACTTTACTTGCTTACAGGTGAGTAAGTTGACTTATTAACCAAACCAGCATTTTCTCCCAAATTCTCTATGTTCATGAGTGCAGGCAGCATCCTACACAGAGCCAAAAGACTAACAATTCTTAGAAGTCCTTACAAGTCTGTGTCTGAGTATAGCAAATGCTTAGGCCAGATTGTGAAAAATAATTGGCAGTCAGATATTGATAATCTGGTTGGCAAGATATTCTTTCTTTTCTGTCTTCTTTCTCATCAATCACCACGAAATAAACTTTCCCTCCAAAATGACTAGTTACATTTTTCATCTTCACTCTCAATGTCACCACCGTCACCAACATGACCTTCAAACTTGTTCCTTTACTTCTCTAGTCTCATTCCCCTCTTGCCCAGTCTCAGATCCTACATTAACAATCTAATAAAATAGTGTATCATGTCATCTTCCTGCTCTAAAGACTCTGTCCATTCATTTCTAGTTTTCACACTGTTTTCATTTATACTGCCCTATTTGAGTTGACACAGAAAAATATACTCGGTTAAATCTTATTAAATTTAACACATGAAGAGATGGAGGTTCAGAGATGATTTATTTTTGTAAATGGAAAACAGGTGAAAAATGCATTATTCAAACTAAAATTTAAATGTGACCTTTTAAAAATCTTCACCCAAGGATATATTTGTGGCTTTTTAATCAAGTATTGTTTTTTTTTCTCCTTAGAGAGGAAGGGAGAAACATCCATCAGTTGCCTCCCAAATGCACTATAACCATAGTCAAACTCACAACCTAGTATGTGCCCTTACAGGAAATCAAACCTGCCACCTTTTAGTGTATACTGAGCCACCCAACTAGGGCTAATTTTCAATGCATTTGTCTTATCATTCCTAAAAACAAGCAAGCAAATTTACATTATAAATGTAATGCCTCATGGCCTCCAAAGTTCTTGATGAGAAATCTGCTCTTATTCTTACTGAAGATCTCTTGTATGTGACGAGTTGATTCTTTCTTGTTGCTTTCAAGATTCCTTGTCTTTTGAAAGTCTGATTATAATATGTCTCAGTGTGGGTCTCAATGAATTAATATTACCTGGAGTTCATTATATTTCTTGGATATTTATACTCACGTTTTTCATCAAATTTGGGAATGTGATCACTCTGAAAATCAGATTCTTCCCCTTCCACGAGGGTTTCTGGGTTCTGGATTATTTTTATTTATTGTCTTTCTTTCTTTTTTATTATTATAGGCTGTCTCTGGGCAACAATGAGCCTGCTGTGTAAACTAAGGTCTTTTCAGGTTTCACCAGATTGTTTTCCTGTAGATAGTTATTATTATTTTTTTTAATGTTTGGTCCCCAAAAGGAAATAAACAGGAAAATGAAGAGAGGGAAGGAGAAGAGCACTAGCCCTTTAAATCTCATGGCAGTCAGTCACTTGTGGGAATAGGGCCTGGCTTGCAACAAAGCAGGAGAGGCAAGAACAATGGTTGCCTGCCTCTTTACAAGTGTGTGATCAGATGAAGCAATCACCTATCAGAGCACAGATCCCCAAAAGTTAAAGGACAAGGTCTTTTTTTGACCATCCCAGCTCCCACAAGCTGTTGTAAGCTACTCCTGAAACAGGGGTACAGCTGCCTCCATGTGACTGGGGGTGGGGGACAGATAGCAGCTACTGTGCTAAGATCTGAAAATTAACCATAATTTACCTTCCAAGTCTCCCTTCTGAAACTTGCAATTCTTCAACAGACTCAAGAGTTTATCAACAGACTCAAGAGTTTAAAATTAGTTACAGATTCAGGCAGTGCAATTGCTGTCTAGGTAGGCAGTTAAGATTCCTGATGCTTCTTATTATGCCATCTTCCCAGAATCCTCCCTCAATTATCTTTTAAATTAACTAAAAAAAAAAAAAGGGGGGGGGGGGGTGGGTGGGTGTGGGGAGAAAGTCATGTGTCCACATAATTACCGCTTAGACACGAGTTTCCACCTGGTATCATTTTCCTCAAGTCTGAAGGATTTCCTTTACCATTTCATAAAACGGAAATCCAGAAGGAAGGAGGCAATTAGTCTCCAGCAATGGTCCTCAACTCCAGCTGTACAAATCATATATATATATGTGTGTGTGTGTGTGTGTGTGTGTGTGTGTGTGTGTATCTATATATATATGTATATATATATTTATATTTATATATCACCTAAGAAGCTTTAAAAACAAATAAAAAACAGTATCTAGACCCACCCTATCCCCTGCCCCACAGAGATTTTAAAATGGTGTTAGGTAAGTCAAGGCATCTGAATTGTCTTCAAAGCTTCTTAAGCTATTTTATTGAGCATCCAGGGTTGAGAACCTGTGATGCATACTTAGGCATAGTGAAACCACAGAATAAAAATAAAGAGAAAAAAAATTAAGAATAACTACAGAGAATACTATTATCTACAAAATAATAACATAGACTGACAATTGACTTTTCAACAACAGAAGCTAAAAGAGTAAAATAGTACATTCAAAGTGCTGAGAGTAATAACTATCAACCTAGAATTCTAAATAGCTATCATTCAATAGCAATAGTGAAGTGGACACATTTAGTCAGTGTCAGAGGTTACCATTTACAGAGCTTTGCTGAAACAGCTACTAAAGAGGATGCGCTTCAGGAAAAGAAACAATGTACTTAGGAAATGGGATACAAAAAGAAATTCAAAATATAAAAACAAAACTGCTGCCGCCTGCTTAAGTCAGACCTCCTACTTCTTTCTTTTCCTAAGTAATCAATCAACCAAGACCAAACAAACTACCTGACCTTAATTTTTAAAATAAGAACAAACATATGGGCCCTATCTTAGATATACTATAACTCTGGGGAGTAAGGGCAGAATATTTTTTTAAAGCCCACTGGATCAAAAGGTTTAGGAACTTCATATTCTAGCTTTTCCTTTATTCAGTAGTTCTCAGACTATGGTTCCTCAAATGGCAGTATCACCTTTACCTGGGAACTTACAGAAATGCAAACTATCAGGACCCATCCTTGATCTAATAAATTAAAAATTCTAGGGATGAACTCAGCAATCAGGCTTTATTGAACTAGGTGATTTGGATGCTAGCTCAAGTTTGAGAAAGCTGCTTTAAAGTCTCATGCCCATATTACATGGTCCATACTTCTATATGAACAAATCCTATGCTGTTGCTCTTCCTACAAAATCTTTCCATTTAGTCCTCTTAGAGTAGTGGTCGGCAAACTCATTAGTCAACAGAGCCAAATATCAACAGTACAACGATTGACATTTCTTTTGAGAGCCAAATTTTTTAAACTTAAACTATATAAGAAGGAACATTGTTATTAACTTAATTAGGGTACCCATAAGCTGGCCTTTGCTAAAAACTCAAGGGGCCAAAGAGCCGCATGTGGCTCGCAAGCTGCAGTTTGCTGCCCACTGCTCACTATGAGTTTGACATGCTTCCATACATTTTTTATTTCTTCATTCAATTTTCTTTTCATCTTTTGCCTTAAATAAATTTGGTCCACCTCTGTCAGTGTGTCCTCACATAAAGGCTGTTCACTTTCCCAAACTCCGTGTAACTCAGGGTCTTGAAATAGAGGTCCACTTGTTCTCTAACTCCCTATAACTACAAAAATATCTAGATAAAAATCTCACCTTTTCTGAGACTCTCCATTCTCATGGCTTCAGCTGCCAATGTGTATGATATTCACTTCCAAATGTCTCTCACAATGCTGAGACCAGAAGAACCCACTATCTACCTGACACTTCCATCTGGATGTCCCAGAGAAACTAAAACTCAATATATAAAAATCAGAACCTGCTATGTTGTCCAATTCTATTCTTCCTACATTTTCTAATATAGAGTGGCACCACCATCTATTCAACTTTCCCAGTACAAAACCTGGAAAGCATCAATGCAATCTCTTATTCAAACAATAATCACCGACAACTATCAATTTCACCTTCTGCAAGTTCTTTAATTCTCTCTGTCACAACTGTTACTGCTACTGTTTAAATAGCCTCTTAATGGCTCACTCTCCCTCCAGTGTTACACTTTCCCAACATGTTTTACAGTCTCCAGTCTCCAAATTTCAAAAATATTTTAAAATCAAGTGGTATCTTATGGAATGTGAATTATGTTTCAATTAAAAAAATATATAAATATATTTTTTATTGATATTATATATATCTCCCATTTTCCTTCTCTTTACCCCCCTTCCCAGGCTCTCCTCTCCCCTCCCCACAAGGTATGTTTCAATTTTTAAAAATCATGTTGTCATCTTAAAATTTTAACACTCCTATTCTAAATCCATCATCAATACTACAAGTTTGATCCTAATACTTCTTTTACTCAATTGTGAAGGGTCACCAACTTATTGATAGTTTTATCACAACTGTGTAGCACACAGAACATCAAACTAAAAAGGAATTATCAAATTAAACCCAAATTAATCCTTAAAATGTACAAGAACTATATAACTCTTAATTTCATGTATATGAACATCACTGCAATAAATTTTAGTTTTTGTTATACATAAACTAGAGGCTCAGTGCATGAAATCTGTGCACAAGTAGGGACCCTAGGCCTGGCTGGCAATCAAGGCCAACTGGAGCCTTCCTTTGTTCTGCACCACCCCCTGGTTTTCAGTGCACCAGGGGGTGGTGCAGAACCACCCCCTGGTGCACTGAAAACCGGGTGCACCAGGTGCACCAGGGGGTGGTTTGATAGCGAGCAATCAAACTCTTGGTCTCCTGGTTGAACTCTCAAGGGGATACGTTGCATATTAGTCTTTTATATATATAGAAAGTGGAACTTCAACATGTTTATAAGATGAGCAAAATAAGAACACTATAAAAAAAACTGGAGAGAAAACCCATGGATAAAAAAGCATTTCAGATTTTGAAGGAAATAAAAGAAAGAAAGAAAAAAAGAAAGAAAGAAAGAAAGAAAGAAAGAAAGAAAGAAAGAAAGGAAGGAAGGAAGGAAGGAAGGAAGGAAGGAAGGAAGGAAGGAAGGAAGGAAGGAAGGAAGGAAGGAAGGAAGGAAGGAAGGAAGGAAGGAAAACTTACCATATACACCTATAGGAGGACTAGAATTGTTCATGGTAAAAGGTCCGTTAATGATGCCAGAAGAAAGAAGCTCATCAGATCCCCGCTGAAAAGCAAGAGTAATATTCTGTTAATAAAACAAATATCAAATAATGATCCATATTTACTACTAAAAACATAAAAGTCCGTATATTACTTCACCAGAATATTAAGGCATTTAAGGAGAAGTACTTAAGAATTACAAAAACTAAAGGTTGGAAATGCACTTTATAGAAAAGAAAAATTACTGAATATCTACATGACAGTTATTAAAAAATAGAATGGCCATCACATAACTGGAAGCATAATCCTGAACCTTTTTTGATTAAACCCAATCCTCTGACATGCTACATTTGAAGTACCATAAACCATTTTTAGGATTTGCATCCTGACATTGTTTCAGTAGTATATTTTTAATTACACTTAACATACTTAATATACTCTCTCTTTCCACCTCCCTTCCCTTCTCTCTAAAAAATGAATGGAAAAATATCCTTAGGTCAGGATTTACAACAGCAGCAACAACTTAGTATATTAAGTTTTTGTAATATATATGCATGCAAATATTTTGTGCAGCACTCCCTAAGAATTCTGCTTTTCGATACCTTTTTTAGGTTGAACACAAAGATGTAATTTCTTTCTATATTGGCCAAGTCCTTTTATTCACGGCTTATTTTTTCCACCCATTAATCTTCAAAATTATCTTTAATGTGTACTATTTCTTAAACTACTATTTAAATAAATACTCTATTTTTCAGGTAAGAGTTTTGACCAATTCCAAACCTAAATGGTTGTCGGTGTTGGTGGTAAAGTGGTGAGCATAGCTGCCTTCCAAACCTAAATAGTCAATGCCAAAGGAAAAGTCAGACTTTCATTATAACACTAAATTCTATTACCAAGATTTAAGTTTCCTTTTAAGAACGCTAATAAATACTATGCACAGCCCTAGCCATATCCAAAATTGTATGCCAAAAAAATACCTAACCTCTTTGGTCATTAGGAAAATGCAAGTTTAAACCACAATGAAATACTAGGATATTAAAAGACTGAAATATCAAGTGTTCAGAATATATAAATTCTTGAAACTCAATAATTAAGACAACCCAATTTTTAAAAAGGCAACAATTTGAACAGATATTTCTCCAAAGCACAATTTACAAATGTCTAATAAGCATATTAAAAGATGAGTATTATTAGTCATTAAAGGATATGCAAATTAAAACCACAAAAAGATCACTTCAAATGAAAATTAAGATTATGATAGCACCATATCACCACATACTTAATCAATTAAAATTAAAAATGACTATCAAATGTAGGCAGGAATATGCAAGAAACTGGATTTCTCATGTATTACTGATAGGAATGTAAAATAACACTGCAAACAGTTTCATGGTTTAAAAAAAAAACTTAAACTACAGTATGTTGTACACCTGATGAAACTAATACAAAATAATATTAAATGTAAACTGCAATTGAAATGTAAAGAAACACAACAAACTTATTTGTATATATCAATATCAATAGAACATATGCTCAAAACAAAAACATGTTCTATGACTGCATTTAAATAACATTCTCAAAATGATAAATTATAGCTAATAAATAGACCAATGGTTGCCACAGGGCAGAGATGACTGTGGGAGAATGGGTATGTGATTATAAAAGAGTACCATTAGGGAGATATTTGTGGTAATGAATTAGTTCTGTATCTTAATTGTGGTGACAGTTACATGAATCTACACAAGCAATGAGATGAAACAGAATTATGCAAAGGCACTGAACCAATGTCAATATGATTGTTTTGATAGTGTATTACAATTAAGACTAGTGGCCTGGTGCATGAAATTTGTGCATGGAGCTCAGCCCAGCCTGTACCCTCTCCAATCAGGGACACCTTGGGGGATGTCTGACTGCTAGTTTAGGCCCGATCCCACAGGGGAGATCCCTCTCACAATCTGGGACCGCTCGCCTGCCTGCCTGCCTGATTGCCGGTAACCCCTATGCCTGCCTGCCTGTCTGACTGCCCTAACCTCTCTGCCTTTCTGCCTGCCTATTTGATCGCCCCTAACCCCTCTCCTCTGCCTGTCTGATCTAGCCCCCAAGTGCTCTCCCCCATCGGCCTGATCTTGCTCCCAACTGCCTCTGCCTGCCTGATCACCCCTAAATGCTCTTCCCTAGCTGGCCTGATCTCACCCCCAACTGCCCTCCCATGCTGGCCTGATCTTGCTCCCAAATGCCCTCCCATGCCAGCCTGGTTGCCCCCAACTACTCTCCCCTGTGGACCTTTTTGCCCCTAATTGCTTCTGTTTGCCTGGTCACCTCTAACTGCCCTCTCCTGCCAGCCTAAACTTATCCCCAACTGCCCTCCCCTGATCTCGCCCCCAAATGCTCTCCTATGCCGGCCTGATCACCCCTAACTGCCCTCCTTATCTCACCCCAAACTGCCCTCCATTGACGACCAATTTGATTCTGATTGGTTGGTTTCTATGCCAGTCAGCATCAAAAGCTATGCCTCCTAGGCAGCTATTGGCTCCTCACAGTTCACCCAGACTTTGTTCTGAATGGTTGGTTTCTATGCCAGTCAGGGTCTCTAGGCCTATGTCCAGGCCTGATCAGAAAGGTGGGGCTGATTCGCAGCTCCCTGGGAGGCCCGAAGAGAAACAGAGGCGTGGTTGCTGGCAAAGCAGGGAGAGAAAGAGAGAGGCAAGAGCTAATCAACACCTGTCACAAAAGGCTGTGGAACAGACTCTGCTTCTCTCTTCAGGCTTCTCTCTGGGCCTGATCCACAGCCCCCTCGGTAGTCAGTGCTGGGTCGCCTTGCCCGAACCAGCGGCAGTCAGTGCTGAATTGCCATGGCAATCCAGCATTGACTTCAGGACTGACTTCCAGTCGGTCAAGCCTAAGGTCATTTTACACGTTACGGACTCTGGGTTTTTATATATTAGGATGTAACCATTTTAACTGGGGGAAATGATGAACAATACACAATACTTTCCTATATAGTATCTTTACAACTTGCTGTGAAACTCTTTTTTCAAAATAAAAGTTAAAAACAAACACACACACACACACACACACACACACACACACAACTATAATGGAATAGATCATTCTGAGCCAGAGGGTTCCTTGAGAGATTTCTTTCTAACTTAGAACAGTCATTACCATCATCTATGTTCAATCCTCAAGAGCAGAACAGCTTGATAAAGCTGTCAAATACCAAAGTTCATTCTTAGACCTTATCCCTATCTTACACTATCACCTCTCACTGTCCTTCTATACAATGGTGGACCATAAGGCATCCCTTCACAGATAAGGAAAAAGTGTCTAAAAGGTAATTTTCCATTATAGTACAGGAAGAGCAATGCAGACCTAGGTAAAGTTAAGTACCTCTCTCCTAAATCTGCTGTAAGTGATTATGGTTTAAAAGATGGAAGATAAGCCGAGACTGGTTTGGCTCAATGGAAAGAGCGTCGGCTTGGGGACTGAAGGGACCCGGGTTCGATTCCGGTCAAGGGCATGTACCTTGGTTGCGGGCATATCCCCGGTAGGGGGTGTACAAGAGGCAGCTGATCGATGACTCTCTCTCATCGATGTTTCTAACTATCTCTCTCACTTCCACTCTGTACAAAATCAATAAAATATATTTAAAAAATAAAATAAAAATAAAAAAAAGAAAAGGCAATAGGACTTAAAAAAAAAAAAAAAAAAGATGGAAGATAAGCAGAATGAAATCATTAAAAAAAAAAAAAAAAAAAAAAAGAGCCATAACCGGTTGGGCTCAGTGGATAGAGCATCGGCCTGCAGACTGAAAGGTCTCAGCTTCGATTCCAGTCAAGGGCATGTACCTTGTTTGTGGGCACATCTCCAGTAGAAGGCGTGTGCAGAAGGCAGCTGGTCAATGTTTCTTTCTCATTGATGTTCCTAACTCTCTATCCCTCTCCTTTCCTCTCTGTAAAAAAATCAATAAAATATATATTTTTAAAAATGAAAAGCTTGTTGGATGAGTGACTGTAGATGACCAAGAGAAGGAAATTGTTAAAAAGAGAGAGAAAAAAACTACTACAAGTCAACAAATTAGCATTATATAAAAAGCTTTAACAAGCCAAATAATAAAGACATCATAGGGATGGGGGTGAGAGGGAAAGTCCATGAACAATGCTAGGTCAACAGTCTCCTTAGAAACATGCCGTAAATTTACACAAGTACAGCAGTTGTTCTGTGGACATGTTAGCTCTCTGGCTAAATCAACACACCAATCAGCTTCACTGACTCAAGTATCAATTTATTGAAGCTCTCTCCTACTGAAGAATAATTAAATATACAGGGCCAACAAAGCAAAGAAATACTGTAATTAAGCAGCACAAATAAAGCGTTTCATTATCAAATTTGATGGGAAGTGGTTTTATTTAACATTAAAGTGAGATTATTAATATGATAAAAGGCAATCCATACAACTGAGAAATAGCTACTAAAATAACATGTTAAGAAAGATTCCGAAAATAAACCATTAACTCATGGTTAAATTTCAGATCATACCTAAAATGGACATAAAACTCAAGAATATGATCATTTGTCTTAGTCTATCAAGATACTGTAAGTATAAAAAAGAGATTATCAAAAATACTTGATAATTTTTTTTTCAAAATAGATTTTTATTGAGTTCAGAGAGGAAGGTAGAAGAACAGAGAGATAGAAACATCAATGATGAGAGAGAATCACTGATCAGCTGCCTCCTGTACACCCCCTACCAGGGGTCAAGCCTGTAACCCAGGCATATGCCTTTGACTGGAATCGAACCAGGGACCCTTCAGTCCGCAGGCTGACGTTCTAGCCACTGAGCCAAATCAGCTAGGGCAATACTTCACAATCCTATATAATAAAAGGCTAATATGCAAATAGACCGAACAGTGGAATGACCAGTCACTATGATGTGCATTAACCACCAGGGGGCAGACATTCAATGCAGGAGCTGCCCCCTGGTGGTCAGTGTACAGGGAAGTGCTGCTTAGCCAGAAGTCGGACTCACAGCTGGCAAGCACAGTGGCAGTGGTGGAAGCATCT